ATTTTTTTTAAATAAACGATTAAAAAATAAAGGTTTTATAGAGCTTGAATCATTGACCATGATGGCGATTAAGGCATTGTTCACATTTGAAGTTGCATCGCTTTTCCATGTTTGTCTTTCCTTTCACATTTTGTTCTCACCCATCCACGTCTTGCCTTATCAACTTCCCAAAATAAGTTCAACGCAAATCTTAACATCATGTTTCCTCTATTTTTATTTTCAAAAAAATTATTATTTTTAGCTTGCTTTTTTACATAAGTAAAATCTCATTTTTTAATAAATATTTATTATAAAATTTTTAAATTATCCTTCATAATTTTATCATTTATAATTATAAAAAATAATTAATAAAAGTTTAATTAATATAATTAATGAAGGGTATTGTAGTCTAATTTTTTATTTTCATATACAATTAATATAGCTAATTAATTTTTTTAAATTATGTGATACAGTTTTTTTCTCAAGTGCTTCCTTTGTTCTAAATTATAAAATACTTTTGGGAGTAATTTTTCTTTCCAAAGTATAAGATACTTTAAAAAGGTTAAGATTTTATTAAATAAACTTATTGTAATATTACCTTTTCTCTTTCTCTCTCTATATAATACTAATTAGGTGTTAATTTAAGATTATTAGATAAAGGGTATTTTTAGCTGTTTATATTTTTATTTTAAAAAAATAAATTTTTAAGTATATTTAACGAGGTTTATTAATAAGTAAAATTTTATTTAAAAATATTTTATAATTTGAGATATAAGGAGTATGTTATATTGATTCTTGCATTGGGATGATCCAAATAAAAATAAATATATTCTGGCTAATAATTTTAATCTGCTTCCCATTAATCATAAATGGTAATAATTGATATCACCTATGAGTTTTTTTTTTGAAATAATACATTACAAAAAGACATAAATTGAAACTTGAAAGAGTCATCATCATATTATTATATCTAGGCAAATCAATTACTCCCTTTATTTTTATATATAAAAAAAAAATTATATCACACAGTTTAAGAAAATTGATTAATCATAATAATTTTATCTAAAAATAAAAAATTAAATTAAAATATTCTATGTTAATCAATATTAACATGTATTTATTATTTTTTTAATGTAAAGTATGAAGGGTGATTTAAAAAATGTGTAAAAATACTTATTAAAATGACTAATTTTACTCATATAAAAAAATAAGTAAAAAGTAATAGTTTTTTCATAAATAAAAATGTAAGGAATATGAACTAACATTTTTCAACTTGTAAATTTGATGAATTCAGAGTCTTTAGTTCTTATCCAGGAAATTTGACGTCAGAGTTTAAATCAAGGAAGATAAACTGTTTATTATTTGCCGCAATATTAGAAAAATGGCGTGCTAGGAAAAAGGATTTAGAAAACGTCTTGACACTTCAAAGGCACAATTCAGCTTTTGTTGTCACATGTTCCTGAATCAGACTTCGACTGGACTCAGGTTTCACACTTGAAACAGGGCTTCTAGAGAGAGTTATAGATCTACTTACCAACTTCCGATGTTGAGATGCCAATTTCATTATTCCCTTAAAATACCAAAAAGTCTAAACGAGGGGGAAAATAAAGTTTAAATTAAATATAAATAATCACATTTTCTTACTTATGCGATATAATTGACGAATATTCTTATAGAATACCTGTTTTCCTCAGCGAAAATTAAAAAAAAAAAAGTTAAAGTGGAGTGCATTTTCACTGTTGAATCATTTCCCAAGAAGCTCTAGTGATTCTAAGCTATTTGACAAAGTAATGTGGCATGCCAAGTGTCGAAACTGTTACAATCTCACCCCCACAGTAACGTTGACCACTATCTCTAGAGACAAACATGTTTAACTGATTTGAGGCACGCCTAGGTGAAAATATTTTTGAGTTAAAGGACTATTTTATCCTCGATATTTTTAGAGAAACTATTAACACTTTAAAATTTAATAATATGAAACAATTGACCCTTTTTTTCTTCTTTAAACATGTGATATCATGTTTAAAATGTCACATGACTTGCTAACTAAACATTCATCGGTATTAAAAAAAAAAAAAAAGAGTTTTTCAATTCGTAATAATGTTCAACCAATAATACAATATATCATGGTTAGACCTTTTGCTTACTATTACTCTTTTCATCCCAATTTAAAGATATTTTTTTTGATAAAATTATACATGTCAATGAAATTTATTAGATACAACTCATAATCTTATTTTTTTAATAAATTTTCAAAAAAATAACTTTATCAATAAGAAAAAGAGGGAAGAAAATTTAAAAAGTGAAATAATTATGAATAATATTGGAATAATAATTATTAAAAAAATTTATTCCCCGCCCCCAAAACGTGGGACACTAAATCATCTTTAAAATATCTTATAAAATGATAGGAAAGGAGTGGGAATTAATTTGATTTCTATACATATACATGACTTTGTCTACGGGCTTGTATTCCAAAAACGAATTGGAAAGATGTAAGATATGAATAGTAGTTTGATGAATTGAGGTATTAGGAAAAGGTCGCTGTCGAAACCATTTCCATGCTATCAACATTCCTGAAAATATCAAAACACATTTTTAACACGCAAGCAGGAAATTGACTTCCCAGCTGGCTTCTATGCGTTCACCCCATATTTTCCTCTTTATACTATTTACAGTCAATTTATTAACTCAGCGTCGCTTTTACTGTCCTTGTTCATTATTATTAGTCCACCCCATCAACCTCTTCTCTCACCTCCTCTCTATACTTAACTACACTAAATCCCGTGAACGCACTGGTTTACTCTTAAAAAATTGTAAGAATTAATATGGATAAAAATATCTATAAGAAATTCAATTTAAGTAATAGTGTTGTTTTCTAAGGCCAAAAGAAGATTTCTTACAAACACAAACGTGAGTTCGATTTTAAGGTTTAAAAATGAATGAATGTTAGTATTTTCTATCACAAATTATACAAGTTTTGTTAAGGAATTATAAATTTTCTTGTCATGACTCATGTTATAATATTTATGATATATTTTATGACATTTTTGGGGTACAAAATGATGCTGGAAAAAAGGAGGTAAGAATGTAATCTTATCGGTTACAGAAAAATATTCAATGAAATTGCATCAATTAATACAAATACATGTTTAGACCCTTATTTTAGTGAAAATTTGCATAAAAAATACATACATTTTAAAATTAACAATCTAGAGAGTTACACAGTATTGGTAAACAATGAAATTTAATGTTGTAAAAGTTGATTCCATCCAAAACTTGCTTGTCCCTAAGGGGCAATTACCAGATATGTTAATCCTTTTTATTAAGATATGCATTTATATGCTATGACCTTTTTTTTTTTATATTTTGCGGACGATGCATGTATAGTTTTCTTTTCTTTCCTTTTTTTTTTTTCATTTATCATAAACCGCTACGAAGCATTTCCTCCTTCAAAATTTAAGCAAATATGATCTAAGCACAAAAAATGCTTCCTAAAGAATTTTTTTAAGGAATTCAAGTCCACGACATTGCACAGGTCCATCAAAATGAAGTTGAATTATTGCAAGCTCAACCCTCTTTGAATTTCATTGGAGACACATCATATCGTTCAAACAAACGAAAGAGATTTGAAAAAAGCATTGAATCAGGCGATCAGCCACGTGACCATATAAATATTAACGTGTTAGTCTTCGGAGAGGGCTTGATGTCTTGAAAAATGCCACGAAACAATTACTTATGAGCCATTCCCGACTTATTTGGGACAAATTGGATACTCAAGTCAAACAGCAATAATCCTCACGTAGCCGATTCGCCATAACTTGGGCCTTTGGCCCAACACGAAGCTATTACTATCAGGCAGACGAGAGTTTGGCCCAATAATCCTAGGATGCTAATTGTTGTGCTGAAAAGAGATGAAAACCCACCCGGCATATAGAAATGAGCTTCATAAGGAAATTTGAATGGTAATTTTGCATAAAAATTCCACCAAAACTATAGCCCTAAAAACCACCGTGATGTAACAAGACATTCGTAACCAAGTACACTGCTATCTAGATAACAAGTCTTAGGCATCCCTAGAAATTTTTAGAATGTGAGCAGTTGGACTTTGTGCAAGTGTGATATTGAATTTTTTTCTTTTTCTGGTATAACCATTCGGTATCCAAAGTCAAAAGCCCCAATTTATATGAATTCGAGCATGGAGGGAACTCAAAAGAGGGTGACTCTCCTAAGCATATTTTCTCCATTCCCGTCGCCCCAAGGATTGAACCTAAGAGCTGATGATTAAGGAAACTCAAACCCCTTGCCATTTAAGCCAACATTCGTTGTTGTGAATATTGAATATTAACACTAGTATGCTCATTACATGGCAAGGGTCAAAGACCAATAAAAATTAGTCCAATTAGTAAGAATTTAATCCATCATTTATAAATTTGTAAGTTAAAATTTCATGTCAATATGAAAACATTGTTAATAGGCAATTTGTAAATATCTCAACTTCCTTGAACTTGATATGTCCTAACTTTGATAAATTAAGACCCAATTCACATAAAAAATTTTATACCAACAAACAGCTGGCAAGGCAGGGACATAAATAGAACGTGTATGGTCTGAAATTTGGTCATATAATTTTTCTTTCATAAAGCAGAAAAGATATATAGACACAAGACAATATGTGAGAATAAATAGAAAGCTTCCAACCTTAAGTCGCATGGCAAAGAGGCATTGAGGTGCCATTAATCACGCTACATCCCTAAATTTTAACCTCAATGCAATGCATTGCCCACCAGACTAAATTTTAAACACGCTGCGTCTTGTCAAGTGTCAACGTTACTTGAACGTGAATGAAGCATGAAAAGGTATCAAAGCAAACAGATTTAAGCTATGTTTGGAAACAGCTGAAAACAAGTTTCTGCGACTTCTAAAATAAATCTATTCTCACCCTTTGTCCAATGCCAACGAGCTTCCAAACACACACTTATTCTTAATGTATTGCTTGAGTTAGAACTAGGATGTTCGAATTCATCTCAAACCCATCAAGTAATTAATTAAAGTTCCATATAGTGTATATAAATTCAAAGAGACCCACTTCATATTAAACGGCATCAACTATAATGCCTGCAATACGCATGAACAATAATACCAAATCAAAATAAGATGACGACGTGAATCCAATCCAACTTTACAAGTTGCATATCTGCTTCAAAATGCTCCTCCTGCATGACATGATAAATTAATATGACAAACTTCACAACAGAAAATCCCTGTTCTTTTACCTTCGCTCAAATCTCTAACAGTGCCCACTATTACTTGTTGGAAAAATTGAAGAAAATAGTATCCTGCATGAGATTTAGTTGTTATCTTCACGATCATTTTTTTGTTTATTTTTTATTAAATAATTGTAATTCAGACGCGTTTCCAAGGAATTTGTTTGCTCAGAGTGTGAGATATCACGCTCACTATAATTTATAATCTACTGTAGATCTCATACTTCATGTTGATATTGAAAGCACGCTCTAGACCAATTAAGTGATTGACCTGCCGCATGTGCATATTAATTATACAGCATAATCTAGCAAGTACTAATTAGTACAGAAAAAATGGTAATTCATGGGGTTAGATTACCTGATGAGTGTAGAAGCAGGCAGGATAGTTTTTGGTCAGTGGTGGTGAGAATTAGGAGAAGTGGATGACGGTTCTTGTTGCTGGTCTTGAATTCTCGTCGGAATGCAGAATTCCGGCAGCCCGTCGGAGTGAAAGCGGCCGCCGAAGATGGAAGGTTGCGACTTGTGATTTTGATGATGCTGCTCCGAAGAAGCCACGGGTACGCCGCTCCATGCGCGAACCAGCGGCGAAAAACTGGACTGAAGGGTCCCCCTTTGAGGAAACATCGAACCTTGGCCCATCAACAAATTAGGCTCGAAAATCCTCTGAAAATTCGACTCGAATTCGGCCGGGTTCGAACCACCGAACAGGTTTTCGTCGTTCGAAGCCGTTTGATTGAACGAATGAAGAGACAGGCCAAGATCTTGCCCGGAATTCGTTGTTCTGGAGATCATCTCCGACGGGTAGCTCTGGAAATTGATGGAGGAAGCTGCAGAACTGGTGGGGAAGAAAGCTATTGCGTCGGAATCAATCGCCGTCGGGAGAAACCCGGAAGGAGCTTCAGAATTCTCAGGGTCTTCCGCTTTGTGAGTTTCCTCCGTCGTATTAGCGGCCGCAGGCTGCCACGGAGGAAGCTCAGCGAGCTTATCAATGGCGTATTTGGCCTTCTTGATGAGCCAATCGACGGCTTTGCTAGGCCGGTCGTAGCCGAGGCGGTCCTGAACATCGTAGAATTGAATCGCTGTGTGGGCCGATAAACGAACCCTCCGATCTCGAGGACCTTTGGAAGTATAAACCTTACTGTGACGATCTTTCCGACCGGTGGATCGAACAATGTGACCTCCTTGAACCTGGACAATCTCTCCTCCTCCAGCACTCTTCATTCCCATACCTTTATGCCTTCTCATCCATAGAAGATACTGAAATTGAGGGTTTATACTCAAATTATAGGCCCTAGCGGTAGCGATAGTTTCTGATTCCAACTGTTTGGTTCTCTTTTTTGAATTATTCGGCGGTTTTGTTTCTGCCCTAGTGAACTCTGAGGACTCTATAACAGCTGCGTGAAATAATCCCGGGAAAAACCAGACCTGCCATTGAAATCTCTCAGAAATAATCCAAAACCCAGATGAATTTACAAGCTGCAAAAGTCAAAAGTACTCAATGCTTCCTCCTTGGTACCTGAATTATCTATAAGGTGGCTTTAGAATTAATGTGAAGAGGGTGAGGTTTTGTTGAACAAGAATTGCACTAGAAATGAAGAATGAGAACACGGGATAGCGAGAAGAAGACAGGGTTTTGGCCGAGGTTGAGAGAACGAGATGGTACAGTACCTATTAAGCGGAGAATGAGAGATGGCTGATGCCTGTCCTCGCTGATAAGTGTGTCAGTGAAGATTAAAGAGTTGTGGGAGAATCGCACTGTAAGCTTCAAGAGAACAAAAAATTACACTGCAAGCTCAATATATTATGTTATTGTATAGTAAGCCCAAAGCCTTTGTTGCAATTTTTTTTTGAGAGTAAAAGTATAATTTTACCTTTATATGATTTAAAAAATCAAATCATGCATAACATAGTGTCCATCAATGTATGAAATAATGTTCATATATGTCTAATTGATCTGTAAGTTTAATAAGATATATAAGTAACGTAGATAATATACAACACAACGTTTACGAATTCATAATATGATATTTATATTTTCTCAACACAGTATTCATGCGTGAACACACATGGACATTATGTTAAAAATTTCATGAACATCATATTGTGCATTCATATATATCATATTGTGTATTCATAAACATTATATTGTACATATTTTATGTGATTTTATTTTGATTAACTTATAAATCAACTGGACATGCATTAATATCACAGTGTGCATGTTTTGTATGATGTATATTTTAATTTACAGATCAACTAAACATGTATGGATGTCATATTATACATAATTTAAATTTTCAAATCACGTAAAAACAAAATTGTACTTTTACTCTTAAAAAAAAATTACAACAAATGCCCTTAAATTTGCAATATAATATCAAAATGCATTGAGTCTAAAGTGATTTTTTTTTTTTAACTATTTTAGAGACTGGAGTGTGATTGTCCCAAGAGTTTTTGGTCATTTATTAATTTTAGCCCTATGAGTCGCCTATATTTTATATATGGTCCATCACAATAGCGCTGTTCAATAAATGTGCGTGCATGACAAAAATCATTTTTTTAAAAAAATATACTATTATTGCTATTATTTAACGATATTTTTTAATATTATTTGTTTAATAAGTACAGTACAAGTGATTTTTTTTTTTATTTCTAAGAAAAAGTTTTATGGGGGCATAGGAAGATGACAAAAATAGATGGTATTCATTCACAATCAGATATCTTCCCAGGTTATTTTTCCTCCATTCCTTAATGGATGTTGATATAATTAAAACATTTTTCAACCTTTGTGTCTATGTAAGCTAAGTAAAGTTTAAGGGAAAGCTCGAGTGATTAGTATTTTTGAATTTAAACGCCCAATATTCTAAACTTGGTCCATCACAATACTAAATGAGACTTATAATAATCCTGATATAACAACAAAAGAGAGGAAAGCTTTTTCGCATTATCACTATTTTAACTCATCTCTAGATTGGATGAGTATTTATTCTCTGTTTGACATGGTAAAAGAGTTTTTAAAGGAAGTGAAAATGAAAGTAAAATTAGGTTTAAAAATACGTTTGGTGTATCGATAAAAATGAGATATAAATTTTAAATAAAATATCCATTTTTTAATGTGAAAGACATGAATGCCTTTGCTTGGAAAAATCCCAAACCCCTTAACCCCTTCAGCTACAACCATTACAAGTCAAACCAGTATTTGTAAAATATATATATATATATATATATATATCCAAAACAAACTCAGCCAACAATCATCAAAAGCAAATTTGGAGATTCAAATAAAAAAAAAAAAGAATCAAAGAGCATTCAAGTCGAAGAGACAAAGAATGGAGATGCGGAGATGGCAAAAATCGTCTCAATCATCGCATGGATCTGGAGATGCAACGGTGGCAATCATCACCCACCTTCTCGATCGCCTTGCCGCAGACTTCGATTTTCGGAGATGCATTGGCGGCAATCATCACTCATGTTCTCGCTTATCGCGCAGATCTGATGCAACTGCGACAATCATCACCCATCTTGCTCACTTCACCACTAGCTTCAACCTTTGACGTGTCTCTGTCGCCGACTCCGATTGGAGCCATCAAGGAAAGACGAGAGAAGATTGGAGTGTTAAATCTGTATATCTCAATTCATATAAAGAAATAAAATAATATATGCGTACCTGAAGAATTCATGAGTGCTAGAGAAATCTCGATTACCTCGAGTATAGGCAGGTACACAACCCACAGATCTCCAGAGCCTTCAGAGAGTTCAGAGATAATGGAAGTAGAAGAAAATGAGTTGTGTGTTTGTGGTTACTGACTAATCGTCTTATATAGATCAAATCGGTAACCGCCTTATTAAATAATTAAATAATTATATTATTTATTATCTCTGACTCAGTCAGTTAAGAGATAGGAAATAACTGACGGCTACTGGGTTGTGGGTTGGGCCTCTGCCCATTGGGCTCACTTGTGTGGTCCACCTATCACGATCCACACAAGATCATAAGGACCAATTTATTGAACTTATTAATTAATGCTAATTTATAAATAATATTTTAACATGGAGAGGGCAAAGATGGAACTGGGGCGTGATGGAGCCGAGTTCCATCGATCTTGGTCGAGCTGGGTTCCTTCTGGAACTGAGATCTGCATACCGAACATCTAAAATAATGGGTTTCACTTTCACTTCTATTTCTCTCCCTTCAATTCCATACTACCAAACAAGCCATTACAAATTGTTATTTGTTGAAACCAAAGCCAAATACAGTCAACACGTGCTCTTCCCCGTTCTCAAACACAATATAATGAATATAAGCCATGCAATTGACGTAAAAATTCAATCTCTCTGCATTTTTATCACCAACAATAATAATGATAAAAATAATGATAGCAATAGCGAAAAATATATCTGCTAGCTTTCGTCGTCACTATCTTATTCAATTTTTACTGTTGTTTGGAATTTTTGTGTGAATACTTAATGGTGTCTTTAATCGATCATTTCAATTAAATCCATACGAATATCCTGCACTAAAATGTAAAATTTTTAGTAATATATATTAAATCTAACAAATGGAATATATCTTATAATTGACGGTAAAAAAAAATAAAAGATACCTAGTGATTAAAAAAAAAACAAAACCAAAGTAATTAAAGTAAATTATCGACTCGTGAGAGTTGAGATGACCCAGAGGGTGTGTTTGGTGACCGATGCTGGGTCCACGGTTCCATTCATCGTCATACCCTGCTTGCCGAATCCTGAGTGTAACTATCTTTTGTGTTTCCTTCTTTCTTTCTTCATTCGTCTTCTTCCAAATTACAACCAAAGTTAAAATAAATAGAATTCGATCAACAAAAGTAAAACAGAAGGAAATGGTTCAAACGAAAAACTTGAGTTTTTTGCTTTGAATGGTTGCAGCATTTTTCCAAATGATTATGCTAGTCATCGTGCTAATTACGAGTTAAACAGGTAGCTTTTTCTTTTCCATGGCAAAGCACAAATAATTCAAGTGGATACATAAACTTCACTGAGTTCACAAACTATTCAAAGTAAAAATTAATGATTGTTTATTTATGACAATTTTTTTGGGGATAATTGTATGCACATTTTACGTAAAAGAATAATTACCTTTAATCGTTGCAGATATAGAAATATGACATGTACTAGTAAATATTAAAATTTAAAACGTAAATAATATGAAATTTAATTATTTTGTTTATATTTTGTTAACTGACCAAACAAAAAAAAAAACATTTAAGACACCGCCCAGAACAACGAACGGGAATGAAAAAGTAAAACACCAATTTTCTCGAAGCGGGGTCCACTCTCGAGAAGTTGACATCAAGATTACAGGGGAAGAATATCTCGTACGTAAGATACTTGGTAGAGTATAATAAAATAAGAATATAATTGAAAGTTATATAAAAATTACATTTTGGATTCTAGACAGTAATGAATCCTTGCCCCCGGCCCCAATTTCACTGTTCCTATATTTTTTTAATTTGTTTGTAAAAAATGAAATAATTACCTTTAGTCTCTTATTTAAGGATGTGGATTTAGTTCGATTTTGGGAAAAAAAATCAAACCAAGCCAGATAAATCAGTTCACCAAAATTTGAGATTTATTATGTTTTTATTTCTAATTAGTTGGGTTCAATTTTTGAGTGATTTGGTTTGACTTGGATTAGATTTGATTCTAGTCTTCTTCTTTTTTTGAGATATTTTTTTCATAATCAATGTATATACATATTTGCTAATAATTTTTAACCATTAAAATCTGATATATTATTTTTAAATACTTGATTTTAAATTTAAATTATTATCAAAGATATTTAGTTAATTTTAATAGATTTTTTTATTGGTGATTTGCAAAAAAAAACTAAACGTATGAAGGAGAAACAGCTTGGAGAAACTTACAAAAATAAATAAAATAAGAATTGACTCAAGTTTCAATAGACAAAAATCTGAATCCAACCAAATCAGTTGATTTTGCCAAAAGATAAACTAAACTGAATATTATTTGTTATCAGTGTTGATTGGTTCATATAGGTTTGGTTTAATTTAATTTGTGTAATCAGTTTTGAACAACTTTAAGCCTCCCATAATTTGGATGATTTTCAATTTTGACCCCCATATATGTATTCCTAAACTCGTTATTGCTTTAAAAGAATGCCCTATACTATAGTTAAGAATTGAGATGAAGAATTGAGGTAGAATTGCACTTTCTAACAATTTTATCCATTGGGCACGTGTATGGCAGTAGGCAGGGTGGTAATCCAAGTTTATAGCCTGGCTTACCCTAGATCGAACCGTGACTTGTTTTAAATACAAGAACATTTTAATCAACTCAAACTACTTAAAAAATGTGGTTTAAAACTGAAAATTATAGACTAAAATACATCTGTTCTTGGTTTTTTAATTTAACAACAATATTCATTAATGAGGAATAATTTAAGAGTAATATAATAAATATTACTAACAAGACAAAAAAAGACTATATTAATTCTAAGGCTAGATCAAGTCTGTTAAAAACAAATAGACTAAGGGTCCATTTGGTTTTTTTGCTTTTCACATTTAGAAAGTAAAATTTTACTTTTAAAAAGTTAGAAGTTGTTTAGACAAAATATTTTGCAAAAGAAACACATTCTCAAAATATATTTAAACAATAATTAAAAGTGAATTTTTGAAATGTAATTATTT